CCTAACCCCTAACCTTGACCCTAACCCTAACCCTAACCCTAACCCTAACCCAATGGGCGTGAGGCAGCGGTGCTCAACTGCTTATTTCTCGAGCCCCTCTGCATGAAAAGTGGTTCCGTCTTTTTGGTCGTGCTCGGAGCGCACGTGTGGGTGAGTGTTTGAAAAATTGCAACAAGCAAATTCTTTATAGTGGAGAAAAATTGTCAATACAAGCCTAAATGGAGGCCGCGAAATGGTCCAAGTGTGGGGGAAGCAATGGGCGTGAGGCAGCGGTGCTCAACTGCTTATTTCTCGAGCCCCTCGGCATGAAAAGTGGTTCCGTCTTTTTTGTCGTGCTCGGAGCGCACGTGTGGGTGAGTGTTTGAAAAAAAAAGCAAATTCTTTATAGTGGAGAAAATTTGTCAATACAACCCTGTTTTCAATCTCCAACCCTGTTTTCTGTGACACGTGACAAAATGGGGGCCCTAACCCTAGCAACTCGAGTATCGTCGCGTTACCTGTCTGAAGCTTTCCAGTTTTTCTGCTAACCCTAACGTCGAGGGCGCCTAACGCGACACGCTCGCTCACCGAGCACGACCGAGCAGTGAGAACAGAGTTTCAATCTGAGATCCTGTTTTGAATCTCCAACCCTGTTTTCTGTGAAACGTGACAAAAAGGGGGCCCTAACCCTAACCCTAACCCAAAATGGGGCCCTAACCCAAGACATACACCGTGAAAACAGGGATTCAATCCACAACCCTGTTTCGAATCTCCAACCCTGTTTTCTGTGACACGTGACAAAATGGGCGCCCTAAGCCAAGACATACACCGTGAAAACAGCGATTCAATCCTCAACCCTGTTTTCAATCTCCAACCCTGTTTTCTGTGACACGTGACAAAATAGGGGCCCTAACCCTAACCCTAACCCTAACCCACAGATCAGACTCATATCCAAGTACTGTACCACAAACACCGGCAGTAAATCTCTCGAAATTAGAGCCCCCCCCTCTCGCGTACCACGTTCAGGCCGTATCTCAGCCCGAAAATGTCGGTTGGCCTAAAAACAAATATCCAGCTGTGCGCCTGAACATAGCGGAACATACTTTAAGAACAAGCCAATCTGTGCACTTCTAAGGGCTGAACAAGAGCATCGGGACAAGCTGGGGTAAAATACCCCAAAATGCGGCTGGAAAAACAGAGTTTAACAGGACGTATCCATCGCAAAAATTGTTGTCAAGAGCTGTTACAACAGACAACGTGTCTTCAATGAAATACACCGAGCACCACCTCACCACCGTCTTCCTACCCGACCGCTTGCTCTACACAACAGGACAATCCGCAGTCGAAGTGGAGATCGAAGCCAGAGATACTACTTCCACGTACACAACCTCGTGATTCAAAGCGGCGGGCGCTATGCCCTTCGCCTCTACCGCCACCACCAGCATGAAACGCCGCCTCTATGTCAGGAGGAGTTCCTTCGCTTGTTCAAGTTAAAACCAACACCGTGTGGGCCAGGAGCTAGTAAAAACGGAGCAGCGCCTAGCAGCAAATCGTACGAATCGGCCACCGCGTCACTTAAGGCACCCTCCTTCAAAACCATCACATTGACGGGCAAAAAAATCCCTTCCCTCCATTTGAAGACTTCGGACAGATTTTTTTTCGTCCGCGGCAACTTGTCTCCCTTCTGATTCAAACTCCCCGATATCCAGAAAAATTTGGTCAAGTCGTCTCCTTCCACGTTTTTCCTTCCCAATTACTTCAAATTTCGTGTTGTACATGCACGAATATCATTTGATCATCTCCCGAATCTCGAGAGCTTGATAAACGCAACTCCGTAGACGTGCCAGCGAAAGGTTCGCCACTGGGAGAGTCTGTCGCACCTGAGATTTTTTGCGCCAAAAAAACACAAAATACGCGTTGCATGTAAACATTTGGAGACGCGTGTGAAACGAAATACGTCACCACTGGTACGCCCGGACCGACATATACAGTATACTGGTCGGCATTTGAAAAGATGTGGTGAACGCACATCTTGTGCAGACTGAGGAAGTCAAAAGAGAGGAAAATTATTGTTTGTGGAACACCAAAAGGAAACTAACAGAGAGATGAGGTGTTGCATGGACAACTTGAAACTGTGCCAATGAACTATATGTTATATTACCTAATGCAGCCGAACCCTTCCCACCGGCTCCATCAGCCGGCGTCCCTCGTGCTGTCGAGCCATTGTTGTCTCTCGCGTGTATGGTTGCACACACCAAGAATGCCTCCGGAAACGTGGAGTTGTCCCGAAAAACTGTGACCGGACATTGAAGAACATGTGTACATGCGACCAAGGGCTACGGCGCCAGCCTCTGAACATGAAAGGTAATATATATCGGGTACTCTATTGTTCACCTTGTTCGGAGGTGGGCTCAGTGCCGCTTGCTTCAGCAGAAGCGGCGGGGGCGGTGGCCGGGGCGGCGGAGGCGCGAGGAGTAGCGGCAGCATCCGGCGCGGCAGGGGCGGGAGCGGCGGCAGCAGCACGAGCAGAGGCAGGGGCGGAGCCAGGAGTAGAACGTCGATCAGCTGCATCCGGCGCCGAAGCTCCCGACGCGGCACGAGCGGGAGCGGCAGAAGCAGGATCGGTGGCAGGTGCACCACCGGCAAGGCCAGAGCCACCGGATGAGTCAGCAGGATGCTTCGGCTTCCGAGTGCTGTGTATGCTGCGTTGCTGCCGGCGGAGTTCCATCCACCCATAGCGGATAAGGATCAACTGACTTCTAACGACATTCCGGAAATGACACAAACTATTGGGGTCGTCGACACCGAGGCACGGAAGTCCCCCATTCAAAGCCTCCGTGTACTTTTTTTCCTCCTGTTCCTTATCTAGGATCCGTGCCTCAAGTTCAGCGATCTCAAGGGCAAGGGCGAGGGCGATAGGGTCGCCGGAGGTGGCAGCAGCAGCCGCTCCGGCGGCGGGTGTGGAAACGGCGGGGGCAGGGGCCGGGCCGACAGAGGCGGGGATGGCAGGCGGACCTGGGGGAGTAGAGCGGGCGCGAGGGAAGGGGGGGGGGGGGGGGGGAA